AATTACAATTAAACCAAAAATGATCAAAGAAAAACAAATACATTCACTTCCAAATAACGTGATCGGCACGATGGAGGGTATTTTATATGCCGTGCCCGGCCCGGCACATTTAGATGCTTTCATTATAAATATTCATTTTGTTTGCACAAGAATGTCTGGCCTTATGGAATGCGCCCTCCTTCCCTCTGGCCAATCGTCAATTGCGAATCCGCATATTACTCATACGCCATGTCGCACGCTGCGGCATTCTTTCCCCCGCCTCTCGACGGACACAATACAATTGGCATGAATGTGGTTTTTTTTATTGATTTTAATTTAACGTAAATTGGTTTTGTGTCGACGCTAGGTTCTCACAAGCAATTAAGCGAGAAGAATGGAACAATAAGACATTTACAAATAAGTACAAAATACAACTTATGTCTAGAAAATGCGGAAATGATCAAAAGACTTTTTTCTCTTACTCTCATCCCGTTCCAGATTAAAAGCGAAGAAGTGGTTGAGGCCTACATTGAACGCTGTCGACAGGTAAATAATACAAAAGCTGATTTACCACTCGGTTTCGGGTTTGATAATTGTGTGTTTATATATTCGAAACGATCCACAGGTAAATCCGCTGATCAATGCGATTGTGCAGGATCGCTTTGAGGAGGCGCTGGAGGAGGCGCGCGAGATAGACAATGTGATTGCCATGGGCATCAATAGCGTCGAGTCCATGGAGGAGCACACACCGCTGCTGGGCATACCGGTGACGGTGAAGGAGAGCATTGCCGTCAAGGGCTTGACCAATCAGGCGGGTCGTGTCTTCAAGACGCCGCAAATAGCCAAGTCGGATGCGCCCGTCGTGGAGCAGATCAAGCGCTGCGGCGGCATCATATTGCTGGTGTCCAACACGCCGGAGCTGTGCCTGCTCTGGGAGACGTACAACAATGTGACGGGCCAGACAAAGAATCCGTACGACTTGAAGCGCACACCGGGTGGCTCCTCGGGCGGCGAAGCGGCGCTCCTGGCGAGTGGCGCCTCGCTGCTGGGCCTCACCTCGGACATTGGCGGCTCGTCGCGTTTGCCGGCCATGTTCAGTGGCATTTGGGGTCACAAGCCCACGCCGTATGCGGTCTCGTTTCGTGGCCATCATCCGACCAGCGATTTTCCCAAATGGGGCGACTTCTTTACCATTGCGCCCATGACACGCTATGCCAAGGATTTGCCGCTGCTGCTCAAGTGCATGAGCGATCCGACTGGACCGAAATTGACGCTGGACAAGGAGATCAGTGCGAATGGCATACGTTTCTTTTTCATGGACAACGACGGGCCCTCGGGCATGATGCGTCCGCTCAGCCGGGATCTGCATGCGGCCATCAATCGTGTGGCCAGCGATTTCAATGCGAAGCGCGTCAATATACGCAAAATGAAATGGTCGCTGGACATCTCGCTATCGGCCATGCTGACCATGAAGAACATTGAGACCATTTACCACAAAACGGAGGAGGGCGAACAGCCAAAGACCGTGTGCAAGGAGACGGTCAAGTATTTCTTTGGCTGCTCGGACAGCATACTGCCCTCGGTCATCTTCGGTCATCTGCAGAATTTCATGAAGATAATACCCAATTCGCGGCACAAGCATCTGGCCAGCATCATCGAAGCGCTCAAGACTGAATTCAAGGAGCTGCTCGGCACAGATGGCGTTTTCCTCTATCCCACATTCCCGAATACCGCCCATCAGCATTATCAGATCTATCACAAGCTGCTGGAGCCCATGTACATGGCTATATTCAATACCCTCGGCCTGCCCGTTACCAACTGTATGATTGGCCTGGATCGTCGCAATCTGCCCATGGGCATACAGGTGGTCGCCAATCCCGGCCAGGATCATCTCTGTCTGGCCGTGGCGCGCGAAATGGAGCGACGTTATGGCGGCTGGGTGCGTCCGCCCTCGGAGGATAGCCACAGTTACGCGCAGTCCAGTGGCAAGCGGGGCTGAGCCCCATTTTCATTTAGTGAATTATTATTTCATTCGTCATTCGTCTTGCACATATATATATTTTTGATTCCATCTAGTTATCCCATAGTTAACTATGTGACATTTTATTGAAATCCCAAAGAAAATTATAGAAAATTTGGCGTACTTTTTATTACACATTTCTTTTGGAGCTTTCTTTCCTTCATTTTTATTCGTCTCGCACATCACATTTACTTCAAATCATTTCACATTCTAAGGAGTATTAAATTATTGCTTTTGTATTTGTCCAAATTAATGTTGTATGTACTCTAAATCATATTGTATGTATGTATGTATAGACATATATTATTGTAGATCATAAGTGTTAGGTTTTTATGGCCGCAACTGGCATTTTAGATGATAACTATGCATAATTTGTGTATTGTATATTCTTTTTAGCAACTTTTTCGTATTGTAGAGTCACAGTGATATATGTGAATATTCATTGGGATTGATTGGATACCTGAACAAAATTTGTACCAGAAACGATCAATATATATATATATATATATATATATGTATATATATTTTTGCATTGAGCCAAATTGTGGAATAAACAAATTATAATATCAGGCAAACATTTATTTTAAGAACTTCTCTTGCGCAAGCCTCGCAACAGGTTGGCCTCCAGTTCACGGCAGACTCTCTGTCTCAGGAGGGGAGGAGAGGGAGAGGGGGGGGGGCCCAAACTAGGCACTGTTATGGGCTAATAACGAATATAATAAGCTACAACAGACAAACAAAGCAAAACTGGCTAATAAGCAGCTACTGGCAGAGTCGCAAAACAAATGGTTCCACCTGGCTGAACCCCCAGCACAGAACATTAAAAAAGAGTTTTATTTGTGTATGTATGTGCACATATGTATGTTTGTATGTATGTAGACACACACAGATATGCACAGCTTAAGTGCATGCAGCACCTGCCCCTGGGCAACCAAGGCGAATGACTAGCTCTTTTGCCGCCGGATCATAGTCGCAGCTTTTAAGTGTTGTCATTTTATTGGCCTGGCTAACTAGCCGGGCGGCCACAGCAGCACACTATTCGATTTTTTGACTATTTCGTTTCTGTTTTTATTTTTTGGTGGCTTTTGGAGTAGCTCAAGGTTTTGACAATATGGCTTGCGCAATTGCGCTTGCCTGGCCTGGCTCTAAGTTTTCAGACAGAACGTGTTATTTGGCCAAAAATTGGAGGTAACTTAAATTCTGGCCAAAGAATGTGGCGGCCAGTTTTTTTAGCATGGCCAGAAACTATCATGAACTGCTGCAGCCCGCAATTAACACGCACAGTAAATTTTGACTGTTTTAATTAGCATTACGGGCTCTGCCATAGCCAAGTTCTGTTGCTGGCCAAAGAGGGCTAAAATGAACATTTGTAAGCCAAGTATTTTTAGCTACCTATCGAGAGACTATTAAAACAAAAAATTGAGAGCGAACTCCGCCGAGCATTGCTGACTGGAAAGCCACGAGCAGCCGTAAAGCGAGAGCGAGAGAGAGCGAAGACAATATGCAACCATGGTTACCGTGCAACCATGCACATGAGGTAAGAATGTACCAAAAAGGTTAATTTAGTTGCCAAAATTAACTCTTACCCTTGAGCATTGAGTATTTTCCAAAGCCAGATTTAAAGAAAACGGAGGTTTTTAAACTTATTTCTAACAAATTATTTTTTCCTTAACTTTGGTACATTTTTTTGTAATTTTTGATTGAAAATATTTGTATGTGGCAACCATGGCCATATGTGGTACACTTTAACCAAATCTTGTAATTTCTCTTATGTTTGGTACCTTTTTTGTAACGAAATTTTATTTTTAGAACTCTTCAGTAACATTTTGTATAAATATGTTGCAGACAAACATATTATTTTGTAAAAATGTATTTAAAAAAAATATTATTATTTGAATCTTTTTAATTTTCCGAAATACCCATGACTGAAAATCCACGAGTTAAGTACTAAAGATCTTCAACAAAGTGCATGCCTTTTAAATGTTTACAATTAAAAACTTTATTCTTATGCTTCTACAAAAATGTACTTCTTGAAATTAGGTACATCTTATGGTACAAAATAACAAATTGAATTCTCATTGAGTAGTCATCAAATCAAGCCGTTATCACACCTACACACTCACACATACAACGTGTGCGGAGAGCGTGAGAGTGAGCGCACAGCGCTGACCATTCCAGTAGTCAGCAACATTCCAGTTGTCAGCAGCATTCCAGTCACTTAAAATGGCTGTCTTCAGTCTGCAGCCAAGCCTATCCCAATTCTTGCCGCTGTGCACCTCGTTCATTTCAAATTCGACTCAAGCAGCGTGCGGTTGTGTCTGCGCATAAGATCCGACTTTTGACTTCTAAATAGATGCACATGCATAGTTAGGCTGTACTATTGATAATGTTTTTTTTTTTTGGCTATTTTATTCTGCACATTTGAGGTGACAAATTGATTGTATATTTGTTTACCGTGATCTATGCAGATAGATTAAAACTGTGCCGATTACCGTGTTAAATCAACTAAATATCAAGTGTGATCTTAACCCCGTAAGACTCAGACACGTGTTTGCTTTTAGCAGACGCATCTCGATTTGGCCAATGCCACGTGTAGGCCAATACTATTTTTAATTAAGTTACATACTAAAGAAAAGCTTAAGTTCCTTATAAATAAACCAATTCTGGATGATTTTGAAATAACAAGGGCTCGAAATTGTTAAAATCCCAAATTTATAATGTCTATATGCTTTTCGTTCAATAATGATATTTGACGAAGGCATTGTGCACAGCTGTATTTATCAGTATACATTTTCCATTTTTAAGATAAGATTTCGGAAGTGTAAGGGCATCTAATCTTTAGGTAGTTCAAAGATAGACAAAATAAATTTTTCTACCATTCACATAATTTAAAGAACCTTTGATCAATTGAATAACATCAGAAATTACTTATACATATATATTTTTGAAGGGGCATCATTTTAGACATGATTTCTATAGTAACCTCCAATTAAACTCCAGATTCTTTATAAGTATTTAATACATTATGCTGAAGCTATTTACATTACTCGAAATGAATATTGAGAACAGATCGCGCACAGCATTTAACTGGACCATAAGAATCGACTTATTTTATACTTATAAAGGCGAGCAAGGAACCTAACAAATTAAATTTTCACACGATGAAAAACTAAAGAAAGCAAACTGGTGGTTAAAAAAACGAAACATGTGTTGGCAGATGATGTGTGGTTCAGACTACTTCTCTTTCAGAGCTTGGGCTTTGCGTGGCTTGGGCTCTGGCGGATCGATGAGGTTGCCATGACGTACAACATCGATATGGCCCAGACGTATCATTTTCTCCTCCCAAATCGAAATGTTTTTTCTGCAAGGCAAATGGGCGTTAATAAAGGCTTTTTATAGATTGGAGTTGGGTAATATACACACTTGTACTGGTCCAGTTCCTTGCGCGATTCGCGCAGATAGACTGCTTTCTCTTCGTCCGAGAGGCGAGTCCATTTGGCGGTCGCCTTTTGGTGCCATTCGCGATACGTTTGATTTGGTGTTTGTGGCGTATTCGTGCGCTCGCTGGCCACAAAGCGCAGAAAGGCGGAGGCCGGCTTCTTGGGGCGTCCCAGTTCCTTGATACGTTTGCGCAGCTGTTTCCGCTCTTTGGCATCGCTGATGTCCTGTTTCATCTGTTTGATTTCAGCGCGTTGCTGGTCGGTGAGCGTGGCATCATATTTGGTGCGCTGCTCCAGGTAGAGCTCCTGATCCTTTTTGTACTCTGACTGCAAGCGCTCCTTCAGCTTGGGATCGACATCCACCCAGCTCTTGGACAGTTGGCGCACAACCTCGACTGTGGTTATCTTTGGATCCTTTGCCAGCATCTTGGGTCGCATTTCGCGCATGAAGCGAAAGTATGGCGTCAGCGGCTTCTTTGGCCTGGGCGGCAGGCCAATCTGCTCCTCCAGCGACTTGGAGTGCAGTGCCGAGCTATTGCTAAGGCTGGCGGCGGCCAATGGTCTGTTTGTGTTTGGCGTAGGTGTGAAATTTTTGTTGATTTGATCTGTATGTGCAGTGTCTGAGTTTTTGGCTACAACTTGCCTGACTTTGCTAATTAGCGACCCGATGAGGGAGCCTCGCGACAGCAGCGTCGTTGTGTAAATCATTTTCAATTGGTTTTGTCTTTAATAGCGCTCTTAAAAGTTAATACTTTTAGTTTGTTTTTCAGAGTTTTTGCATTAATAACTTGTTGAATTTACAATCTGAATAAGTTTACGTAAAAAATGCGGCGTTTTGGCAGAGTTGCTTTGATTTCACAGCTGTCAGGCTATCGTTAAAGCTATCGATAGTATCGTTTAAAATTAAGAGAAAACACTATCGCCATATTAAAGCATATTAGATTTGCTTAGTATAAATAAAAATAAACATGACCTACTTACCTATTCGTGCTATGGTTTTCTATTTAATAAATTAAAATAGATATAATCTGTGATTTAACAACTAGTATTTTCTTATCGATAGCTGGTGTTAAAGTATACTAGCATAGGTGGCGCCAGTTGAATTTGCAACCCGAGCCGTTAGGTGCATAGAAGGCGCTGCATGCTTTGCAACTCTGTTGTGTGCGACAGCGATGGCAATAGAGGTGGAGCAGTACGACAATAGTAACGCGCGTAAATTTGAAACATGTCAGATTAAAATGGATTTAATTGAAGTTAATTGAAACGTTCAAGCGAAATTGTTTTAAAAGCCCGATAACTATGGCTATAAGGATAACGTTTTAGTTGTTAGCACTGAATTATTGTTTATAGCCCATAAAATTTTATCTGCTATTATATGCATATTAATGCAATTTTGAGGCGTTTGCTCAGTTTGATAAACCGGATATTAAAATCTTTTATGCTCTAGTGAGCACTTGTTGCAATTGTGTTTGCGGTTGCTTGACAATTTGTCGCTGGCAATTGTTGCACACAGTCCGATGTTGTGTTTATTTGTTGCTCGCTTTTGGCCAATTTACTTATTGGCTTACTCCACATAGAGGTTGTCGCACCAAAAATTTTCTCGACAAATGTGTGCACAATACAAATCTATTTCGACGATCCCAACCGACCTGATTTCAATTTTGTGGGAATGCACCAATATACATGAATATATGTTTATATATGGACATATTTGTTGCTTTTCCCTGACTTCCGTCAAGTGCGCTTTGCACAGCCAGCTTGATTCGGCCAACTCCCAGCCGCATTATGTAACGCTTTTGCGAATGGCTGTTTTACTTCTTCTGGTCGACGATTTTTGGCTGGCCCTCGTTGCGCATACGCCCCGTTTGCTGAGGCGCGACTGCAATGGGCGACTGTGTGTGCGCACGTGTGTGTGTGTGTGTGTGTCGATTGTGCAAGCGGCTGACACAAATTCTTTGACGCCGCCGGCCAATGTTGCAATTTGACTCGTTTGGCTATTTTGCGCGAAAACCCAACACAACTCAAAAAAAAAAAAATTAAAAATAACTTGTTTCGTGTCCAGTTCGATTTGCCGAGGCAATTATCAAATGCGGCGGCTGCATTTAAATTTTGCTCATGAGTTGCTTTATTTATTTATTTTTTGCTACCGTTTCCTTAGTGAATGTGGACGTGCTTTGGGTCGGGGTCTGGCAATGACAACGACAACGACTACGACAACAAACCGTTTGCACAGCCGGCAACATTTGTGAGCTCGTATCAAATGCTCTTGAGCAAAAGGCACAACAGAAATCAAGCGACGAACGGCCAAAAGGCAGGCAATAAAATTGAACAATAAATACACAAAAACAACAGAAACGACAACAAATACAAGCAAAACTACAACAAATACATTGTGTGCTTCAAACTTTCTTTTTATGCGCCACATTTAGCTGCCGTTTCTTTGGCCAAACATTCGTCGTCTCTGGGCCACGTTTGTAAGACGCCTCATTGATTTTTAGCTGCGACGCCAGCGTCGCTGCCTTTGACCATAATTGTTGCAATTTAACGACGTCGACGCCGACGCCCGACTCCCGACGCCGATGTGGATGAGGTAACCGCCAGCGTCTATAGCTGTGCCTGCCTTCTAGACCCAAATAGAGTGGACCCAAACAGCGGCAGTCGTCGTTGGAGTTTCAGCGTCTGCATTTGCTGATGTTGTTTTGTTTGGCTTTGTTTGCTTTGGCATTTTGTTTGGCCATTTGCATACCAATTAAAGCCCAGTACAAATGAAATCAATATTCAAACAAAGCGATTTGTCTGCTGCAATTTGCGCAAGAGACGCTTTCGCTTTCGCGGCGCTGCCGCTCCCGACTTCTCGTTGTGTTGCACGCAATTAGCATAAATGCAGTCAAGTGCTTATATAACAGAAGGCACTCTGATCCAGATTTAAGACGCCATCATATGGTGGTCAATCAATATGAATGTGAATCACAGCATGCGATTTTCTAATTTCGCCTGATCTCCACACGGCCCGGCACGTTGACGGAAATGTGTGAATTAAGCATGCACATTATCGGAGAAAACTTTTCACCGGCATACAAAATTGTTGTTAAATGAATTAACGTATAAAGTTCATTGCGGTTCAATTTCACTCGAAAACTTATCGGCACAACAACAAGTCATCTTTGGGCCAACGTTTGATAAGCGGCTCAAGAGTTCATCAAAGTTCAGTTTAGTTCATCATTAGCCGCTTTTGTTGCTGCTGTTGTTGCTGTTACTAATTTGACACTAAGTCCATGGTTGTTTGTACACATTTTGTGGCCCTAAAGAGCTTAAGCTGCCATTGCCCACAGCCATATAACGGTGCTGAGCTCTGCTCCTAATGAAGTGGCATAAACTGTCCATTGTCGAATGCAGGCATGGTGGGCGTCTGCGTATTGCCAACAGCTACCGGAATTTGGAAGGTGTGTGTTAAATGCATGCAACAAATTAAGGGAAAATATCATTAATTAAGTATTTTGATTAATTAACTGGCAGCCATTTGCCTGAATGATTGAGTTGGAGTTCGTTGCCTAAGTCTTTTGTTTTGTCTGCACACCGAATGCCCGCCATTTGAGGCATCTCGAGAATTTGTAGCTTAAATTGAGTGCTTAAAACATATGCTGCTGCTTTTACCACACAGCCCAGCCAAGTTCGTTGCCTTTGCAACCCAGCTGCAGCGCAGGTTTGGATCAACTGCTTATGAGCCATGGTTGGAATTACGTACATTTTAACAGCTGGCTAACGCTCCCACTCTGTGCAGCTGTCTCTCTCTCTCTTTCGCTGGCTTCGCTCTCTCAGTAAATCTCTCTACGTTTCGTCTACTTTTTGGCAGCTCTTGCGTGCAGTGCGCGCTTCGCCTGCTTTCAGTTTCGTTTTTAACTTCGGCGCGTTAGGCAGCAGCTGCGCCAAAAACTAAGTAAAAAGTAAATCAAAATAATAATAATAAATAAACGTGTAATACGCGCGTTTTATAAGTTAAGTTATAAACCCAATTACGTGATTTGCCTGTCGCTGCCGTTACCGTTGCCGTTGCCTTCACGCTGTTGAGCATCGTCGTCGTCGTTGACTTCGTAATCATCCGGCTTGTTTTGTCTTCGTCCGCGTCAACGCCTCGTGCCCAAGACAGCTGTTTGAGCCGCTGCTGTCAGAAGTAGTTAGGCAATAGAAACGTAAACGGCTGACAACAAAAACAGCAACAACAACATTAGACGCAACAACACGCTTCGTTTGTATATAAAGTTCGTCGCCTAAGTCTTTTGTTTCTTTCTGCATTCTGCAAACGCGTGCGAATCTCAGCATAATAAACGAAACAAAAGTGTGTATAGATAAAGATTGAAATAAAGACGATCAAAGCAGAGGCAAAAACCCGTTGTGCAACTATTTCTAGTAGCATTCGCCACCAGCAGCCATTGACAAAGAGCCGGCTCCGGCTCCTTAAGCGCGCGTGCAGCCAGAGAGCCAGCCTCCATAATGGCGCCCAAGAAAGAGGCAACCTTGAGCCCGCAGCAACAACACCAGCAACAACCACAGCAGCAGCCGGTCATGGATTTCGAAAGGATAAAACGTCATTTCAGCTGGTCGGATCCGAGTGCCATGTGAGTCATAAGTAGTTAATAGTGCTCACTAGGTGTTGTTGTTTCTGTTTCTGCTGTTCATAATCTCAAGTGCCATCTTAATGGCCAACAAGTTACAAAAGCAACATCAACAAGGCTAAAACCACAAAACGGAACTCAATGCAAAACCAATTTAATTGCCAGGCGAAGCAGCACACTAAGTAAATCCACATTGAGAATGTGTATGACATGACTAACAAATGGAATCTACTCTCAGGCCTGCTGGTCTCTTGTTTTGGCCCAGTCTTTTGTTTATCGCTGGCAGAGGCAACAACAAAAGCGGTTGACTTTGAACACGTGCTCGACTCAAGAATCAAATGTTAATTTCTTGGTTTGTTGATTTCCAACTCGTTTCCGACCTAATCAATTGTCCATTGCTGTTGTCTTTCGAAAATTGTACAGATATTGTGTACAATAGACATAATTGAGACTCAATTCTGTAGTTAGCAGAAATAATGAATTGCAAATGAAACCTCAAGACTGTGGTGCCTTTAAATGCTGCATACTAGACTATTCCTTGGAATATATGAATTAATAAATATACATTGAAAAGTTAACAATAAATGCGAAGGTTAAGTTCGAGTTTCGCTTTATTTAACAGTAAGATTCTCACTTGAGAGCCACAATAAAGACACAGAGCTGCCAGCCTGAGCTGCGCGTGGAAGTAAAGTACTATAATTTATTAATATTATGAACAATAGATTTAAATTTATGTTTGCTGTATGTTTTACCTGAGGATTCCAGTACAAAAATAAAAAACAAGGTAACAGATAATTCCCGCCATAAGAGTGCACGCGGATTGTCATTTTGACATAGTTACCAAAATGTTTATTTTTCGATTTAAAGCGAATATTTAAGTTTATTTGAAATAGAATAACGATTCATTTTTGCGTTTAGACAATTACATTTGACGGTAAGCAAAAACTATAAAGGAGATATTTAAATTTTAATTTGATATACGATTTAGACTTCGAATTCTGGGGTTTTCGAAGCTGGATAGTTCTTTACATAGGTCTGACATCTTTGTCTGCGAGAAAGTAAGGCTATCCTCGTCACGCCAAATATTTAATAACTCTTATAGTTATTGCTTTTTTTGCAGATATGCAAAATGCCCTAGTCCAGCTCGAAATGCTTTGAAAACAGAATATTTTTCTTAGAATATGATCCTACTATTCCACCGATATTTTCTAAAACAGCTATA